ACTAGAGATATGATCAGAAGTATATCCATTGACTAATAAACATGTACATGTATATTGTGTTTTTTAAGTCATTAATGTTTGTTTGTTGTTAAATGTCCCTCTTGGGAATTTTTCACTCATACGGAGACACCACCACTTAAAAATAATGAAGACGTACAAGTCGGATTTAAGGTTAACATTCATTTTAGGAATTTTCAACAATTAATTAAGACGTAAAGAGATAACTCCTTCCCCTTGCCCCTTCCCCTTCCCAGACCCCAGTTTGTTCATGTATGCAAACTAGTCTAATACTTTGGTTTGACATAAAAAAAAATGTGAATACATACAAATAGTTTAATGGTCCATCTCTTTGAATGATTTTCATTCCTAATTCTAGGTTGACCCAAATTCATGAATGAAATGTCAAGTAATCTTATCATTGATGCACTTCTATTTAATTTGATGTAGTCATATTATGAACAAGAGAGTGGGGATGACCTCAAGGGTTCATAACCTTAAACCATTAGATGTACATAACATAATAACACAAGAAACAAAATTATGTCTAGTCAAATGGAAAAATTTTCTACTATTTAGGAGTCGCATGATCATTTGTCATTTCAGGGACAGGGAGCGGCTAGGGAGATTGGACCCCCCCCCCCCCCCTGGAATTTGCAGAGTTATTTAAATAGGACTATATACTGATTTACAGAAGCAAATAAAAAATGACTTTGGATGCCCTCCCCCTTTAAAAACATGGACCCCACCATCATTGTTTTTATTTTGTTTGTTTGTTTGTTTTTTTTTTATTTTGCTCCTCAGGAAATTCTGGGCTGGAATTTTTTTGGACCGAGGTGTGGACCCCCCTCCCCCCCGGAAAAAAATTCCCGGATCTATGCCTGTAACTGAATGTAATGTCGACAACGGGAGATAACTCTTCAGAATGTGAAATTCGTCTATTGTGGCATCGATGATCCACTCTCTACGATCGGCTCATACATTCAGTGTCTGAGAGAGAAACGAACGACAACTCTGCATAGGAGATTGCCGATGATCTTTGATCCTTTTTAAACTTTAACCTAACCATTTGCATTTTGGTTTATTTTACCCCAATCTATACTTAAACTTGTACTTACCGACTGTCATAGGTCCTGTCAACTTCATGAAATATAATCCAATTAAAACACAAAATGAATTAATTTCCACTGATATACATGTAACACTACACCATGTCACATGGCATGTGCAATCTAAAAATGATAATGGTAAAACTAGTACTAGTACTGGTAGGGTGACGCAAGCCCAATGTGATGTAGAAATTTTCAAAAAGGTGTTCACATACATGTACAGTACAAGAACAAATTTTAAATTATCATAACAAACGATGTTTTAACATAACTTTGCCATCTAGGCCTATTTCCAAAAACAGGCAAATTGTGTGTGTGTGTATTTGGGGGGGGGGGGGACACATATAAATTGATTGGGTATGGCTTTTCAAGGAGGTTTTTGCCTAATCAAATACTAAAAAAAGTTTGTACATTTTGATAAATTCATCAAAAACGCTTTGTACTTAAATAATATTATTTGTTGTTGAGAAGATAAATTTAATTTAAAAAGTTCCAATTATGGGCCAAAAATTTATATCCCCCCCCCCCTTTTTATTAAAACCTAATTTACAACATTAATTAAATTCTGATATTTCAGATTGGTAATGAATTAAGTATATGAAATGCGTATAAGAGGTTCATGGGTCACATGGTCACCTGAGCATTTTATGCTCGATTTGACGAATACATGTACTGTGTAAATTATAGGATTATTTGGACTTTTTCCTTGGTAAGCCCAATATGAAGGAGTGTGCATTTAGAGGCAAACACCTTAGTGCGGGTATTACTGTCTCATGACAGCATCTAGTTATGATTTCTTTCATTGTTGCTTTAATTTATTCAAATTAGTAAAAATTAAACGAAATTGTATAACAAAGAATGAAAGGGGTCGACATTCTTCATATTATAGACTCCATGCCCGGCCAATCTTTTTTATTACAAAAGTGTCATGCCACTCTCTCTTCAGAAATTAAATTCCCATGTATCCGTTTCAAATGCATTTAGCTCTCCAGAAGAGAGTTCAGAGTTGTCTTTCTTTAGCTGTTGATATATAACATTTTTACATCGTAAAAGCTAATGATCTTCAGACTTGGACGTAAAGTTATTAAATATTTATGTATATAATAAAACGTTTATCTGACACGATAGATTGTAATGTGATCTGTGATAAATACCGAGAGTGTACGAACGGTTATCAAAAGGATCATGGCTGATAGAATAAATTAAAATTAATACTTTGTATGCTATACTGACATAATTTTTAAAGAACAATAAGACATCAAAAGTTTAAAAAAAAAAAAAGTGTTGAAAATTTATAAGCTTGTTAACCAATATTTTTTTGGATACTCTATTAAATTTACGAATAGATCTCACAGAACTGACAAGATGAAGTAAAAATTGTAAATTATACAGAACAATTGTAACACATCATACTATAGTGACACGAATAAACGCAACAATTTGTCAAAAAATCTCATATTTAAAAATAAAAGCTGTTAGACTCATTGTAGAAATATGTCGTATTTTGAAAAAAATATGAAAAACGCAGAGAGAGAAAGACAGAGAGAGAGAAGGGGGTATTCGCCCCCCTATACCCCGGCCAAAATGAAATACATGTACTAATTTTATGATCTTTTTCTTTTGATCAATTATTTTTTAATCATTGCAGCCCCATGCAGGTTCCTTTCCGATTTTTTTTTAAATTTTCGCCCCATTCAAAGATCTGCCTTTGTGCAGATTACACTTGTGTAATATAATGATTTGTATATAAAAGATTCCGTTTATTAGGTTTTTGAAAGAATCGCTTCACATTTCCTCATAAAAACATATTATATAGAGTTTAGTAATAAAGTCGATATAAATTTACTAAAAGACATCCCCCGCCCATGCTTTCCTTTTTAGATAACACTCAAAAGCTATATAGGTTTTTAACTCTCTTCTCTCTCTCTCCCCCCCCCCCCCTTCAAAAATTGTGATATACAATTAAGTGTCTTATATTCTCACTTGTTAGTCATTGAAAGTCGAATTTCATTGAGTGCAAACTAATGTACTAATCTCTGGATAGCTTTCTGATTTTTTCCTAACCCGAGTTAACAGGTGGTTTAAACAAGAGTTTTTAATAAACTGAATTTAATTTAATCTGGAAATCTGGACAATCAGAACCAGAAAGGAATGAAATATGGAGATAACAAACAGTAATCAAGCTCAAAACTCCATGAAAACAATACAAATCGGGAGCAGAGCAAACACGGACCTCTTATACATCAGAGGTGGGATTATAATGTAAGATGACTGTAAATATCATACTGTTTCTTGTACATACATACATACATACATACATACATACATACATATATATATATATATATATATATATATATATATATATATATATATATATATATATATATATATATATATATATATATATATATATATATATATACATACATACATATATATATATATATATATATATATATATATATATATAGGGGGGGGGGCACGATTATTTTGCCGATATATAGATGACTATATATTCTTATATATAGATTATATAGTAAACATAGATTCTAAATGCTTGTGCCCCCTCAATAAAAACGTCTGAGACCTTTTTTTTTTTTGGCTTGTCAGGAAATTTTTGGTAGTGCCCCCTCAACTGTCAACTGAAAATGTATGGCTGCGCCCCCCAAAACTGAATTTGCTTCCTACGGGCCCGGAAGGAAACAAGCATTGCCGATTACAGAACAATGTCAGATCCACCCAAAGAGAGATGATCTTAACTGCAATGATTGTCAGCTTCCTGATATTTCCAATTGTTTTGCTTCATACGCTTTGTGTTTTATGAAAGATATGTACCTTAAAGAGGTTGGATCCTGATATCAAAAGTTAAGAATTTTTTGTCAAGTATATTTTTAGTGTTAATAAACATAGCTTAATAAAAAATCATAACAAAAATTGGGGGGTCAATATGCTTCTTTTGGCGCTACGGTACATTTATGATGACCTTTTTGCACTGAAATTGTGTCATAAACATAAATCACTTCTTCGAAGTTTTTCCTCCAATATTTTTTATCCAAATATAAATCATGCGACCAAATATACTCTTATTCTATCTTAAAAAGGCACATCAAAATTGTGACAAATAAAAAGTTTCAAATTACTTTGCATAATCATTTATTTGACCTTTCTGCACTCCAAAAATGTCATTTTTCAGGCATTAAAACTTTAACAACCAAAAAAATTATTTCAAAGTCTTACACTTTTGCTGAATTTGAGCAGAATCATCAAAGTTATCTTATATATTCAGAAAAGTAAATCAAAAGTGGGGGTCTTTGATGTAAATTTTTAGATATTACTAAAAAAGTGTTAATTTTATGATTTTTCCTGGACTTTCAGAACTTATTTTCCTATATTTGTCACGATATGATGATAGAATTCATTAAAGTTAATTTAATAAATATTTCAGGACCAGTATAAAACATTTTGAAATAACTCTGTGTGTAGCCTGCATGGAAAAAGAGGAATCCAAACTGTACTGTACTGTAAATACTTCGAAAGACAAAATTGATCATTTTCTTCTGAAAAACCTTCCGCCACAAAATATAGTTCCTCACTTAATGCTTTTTGTATGGGATTTAATCGTGGGTTTTTAATTGAAAACACTTTAATTTGTATTGTAAAATCCAAATCTAATGTAAGAAATTAAATATGATGCAGAATTTTAGAAATCAAGGCCCAGACAAAAATCTGCTCAAAAGATCGGGATTGAACCTCCTTAAATATAATTGAAAATGAGGAAATTCAGAAATCAACAAAATGCATGACCTTCCAATGAATTACTTAACATCAATATTAATTTTGATACAGAGATGAGAACAGGTTTCTGATAATGAATTCAGAATTGTTGCATCACTCAATGAGACATCTGAAAGTAGGGGCCAAAATGACCCTTATCTGACCTTTTCCTTTGTTAAGCTTAAGAGTTTTAGTTTCATTTAAACACTGTTGTTTGTATTCAAATACATCAAAATTCGATCATATTCTTATCTATTTTGACATTGCTATAAAACTGGTCAAGTCAGGGTATGAAATTTAAAAGACAAAGATCAGAAGTAGTAATGTGTTTTTTTTAAATTTTTTCAGTGTTCATGGGAGGGTTGCGACATGGACAAACTCTGCAAAAGTATTTCATAATTTCACAAAATTTTCCTCGGATTGGATTCAAAGGGACTAGTCAGCTACTTCATCACCTGGAATTAAATGAAAGGCATTACCCAACAGAAATGTCCATGCATATACATAAAAATTTGATCTGTATCATGTATTAGTTTTGGGGATGCCAATTTTGAGTGTCTCTCACTCAGGTACACACTTTAACTAACTTATTCCTTTTTTGAAATGAAAATGTGGTAGATAAGCTCAAAATGTACCATTGTTGAATGCATCATAAGTTATTACCAATCAATGCAATTGTAACGGGAGAGGAGAAAAAATGCAGCGGACCAGACCGGGATTCGAACCCGGGCCACCTGAATCTCCAGTCAGGTGCTCTACCAACTGAGCTATCTGGCCACCGGCGATCGAACCCGTCTGACCGCCACATTCCTCCCTCCTTAAAGGTCTTCGGCCCCCGAAGACACCAACCCAGGCTCTTCCCTGGCAGATCTTTCACCTGTCACTTCCAGGGCATGGCACGGCACCAAATGTAACAGGAGAGGAGAAAAATGCAGCGGACCAGACCGGGATTCGAACCCGGGCCCCCTGAATCTCCAGTCAGGTGCTCTACCAACTGAGCTACCCAGGCTGATATCCACGGCCCAAACCATTACATTCCTCCCTCCTTAAATTGTCTTCGCCCTCGAAGACACAACCCAAATCGGCCTGGATAGCTCAGTGGTTTGAGCACCTGACTAGTAATGCAGGGGTCCTGGGTTCGATTCCCGGTCCAGCCATACATTTTCTCCTTTCCTGTTACATAATAAACAACGTCAAAGATTCTCTCATTACAATTTCCTGTGGGGTGTATGATATGTGACATTAAGGATGTGTACATATATCTAATTAATGAACTACAATTACCTGTCTCACAGCTTTTTCTTTGTATGTATCTATATACACACACTGTGTTGTCGTCCCATGATCCAACCCAGAGGAGGTGAGCTTTGTTGTCATAACTAAGGCTGTGTGGTGTGTTTATTCCTTGCTGGTGTGTGTGTATCTGTGACAGAAAGTGACCATCTTTGTCAATCATCTGTACTGTGCGGGTGCTGGTATCACACACCAGGATGTGTGACAAGCCATCTGTACAGATTCCATATGGTAAAAGTTGTGATCCTGATGGTGGTCCTGTGTAGGAGAACCTATGTCTTCCTCCATGATCTGTCACCACTACCTGGGTAATGTCAGACACAATAACATCTCCATTGCGGTTCTCTACAATGTATCTAGGATTACTGTACAGTTGCTGACCCTTGTTGTCGTGTTGTATTGTCTGTATGTGTTGCCCTGTGCTAATGTATCGGTTTACCTTGCCTGCCTTTTCATCAAAACTAAACATCCCGACCAGTAGATCTCCATTGAAGGTGGAGCAATAGACACACCTAGGTTCCCACGGATCCATTCCTTTTACCAATGTAGACTGTGTTCTGTTATCTGTAGAAAGTTTGTAAATGTTATCACTCCAGTCTATATAAATCAATTCACCCTTACTGTTCACTGTGTGTGCTCCATATATATTAGTCCATTTATAGTCAATTATACTAGTATCTGTAAGATGATGCAGTATGTCCCCTGCTGTGTTCATCAAAATAAAACTAGTAATGTAGTTGTGCTTATCACTGATCCAGATTTGATCTGAATTAACACATGATATATGCATTACATGAACAGAAATTTTCACTTTAACAGATCTGTGTAACACGGGTGTAGACATCAGCTTCAGCAGGTATTCATTTCTTACTTGTCTTTTTCCTGACTCTATAATTTGGATTTCACTCATTAACTTAATTACATCCTCAATGTTTATTTCATCAGCCAGGGAGAGAAGAGCATTTTGCATAAGATGAGGAGTGCCCAGTATCTTGGGGACATTGGTCTTTTTAAGGAATAAGAGAAATTTAACTGGTCTGTTTGCTGACTGTTCATAGCTGTTTTCATAGTTTTCTATGTTAGCAAGGTGTCTGTTCTTTTCTTGTAATCTATGAATCATGAAACTTTTGAATTTGATTTTAACATCACATACCACAGTATCAATGAGGTTCTTCAGTCGCTGGGCTTTTGTTGACATCTTTGGTTGATAGTTTGATGTTTCTGTGTGACAAGTCTTAACATCAGTTTTGACCTTTGCCAGGAGAAAATGGTTATTATAAAGAGTCTCACTTCTGATCCTGTGGAGGATTTCTCTGTGTTCTTGTCGGTTTGTTTTATATGCTGTTCTGATGTCCAGGATTTTGTGATTTCTGTGTTCTGTACATTGGGCACATAAAGGAAGTTTACAAGAGTAACAGTACTTTTCATAGATTCTGTCTGTGTGTCTCAAACACGTCTCTTGTTTTGAAATGTATTCATATTTTTCTCTGTAAACTATAACATCATGATTTATGGTATCTAGATCAATAACATGTCTGTTTTTACACTGTAGACACAGATCATATTTACACGTGTTACAGTAGAATTCTGTCTCCCCCTGACATTGAAAACACTGTCGTACTTTACACTGGGTGCTGAATCCTTGTGTGTTCATGATTTGAACATGTTGAATGGTAACATATGTGAAAATAATAAACAGAGATATATCTCATAGATCCTTTGAATGATACAAAGAAAGAAGAGGGCAAGGATCCCTGATGGAGTAAGCTTCCCCTGTCTCGAGTTATCTGTATTGAGTTATCTGTGGTCAAAATTAAAACAATACCATAACAATTAGTAGGAAACAAGTCAGAAGATCTGCTGAAGTGAAACATTAAAGCGATCGGAGGGAGCAGTGCAAAGCACCGCTCGTCACTGCAAGCTCTTAAAGCAACACCTAGGCAAAGGACTTCACACATTGATCCAAATGATTTTTTTCTGCAGTTACCTTGAGACCCACAAAGCAACATGTATGCATCTCGCTGCTAACTATGTTCTCGTGGTAATAACAAAAGTTCACCAAATAATAAACTCACCTTGATTTAATGGATATATTGCAGATAAAAAGTAGATTAAATGTTCTTTGTTAAAATTTGCACTTTTCAGACTTTGTTATGGTAATGCAAGTAAATCAGATGTCATGTAACGTCACAGTCTAGACGTTCAAATTGCCTCATGCGGTGAGAAGAGGCGGATCTACGTATCCAGTAATACACATATACTACATATCTGCATTCGCCCTAACGGTCACACTATCAACATGTTACAGGTAGGTTGAAAGTGAAAGCTTATTAAAAATGAAAATTTTGTTTAATACAGAATCCTTATTTTCATCTAAACTTTTAACAAATTAATTTTAAAAAAATGTTTACCATCCATCCTTCATTCTTTGGTTAACTGAAAGTAATAAAAAGAATTATTACAATATGTTATTGTTCTAGCTGCTAAAGCTTGTAATGAGTTCAGATGTACTTACTACAACAATTCATAAGTGATGTAAATCAATAGTAGATGCTACAAGACTGTGAAGAACTTATAGAGAATTTAAAGGGGCCTGGACACAGTTGCATTGTTTACAATTTTAAATGTCTATTTTTATTCAAAAAATAACTTCAGTTTAATGATTTGAACTTACATGAATATTCTAAGAATTCAATGACAATGACATTCTTCATAACATTATGTCAAACATCTGTGTTTGTAAACAGAGCACTAGCTCTGTTATTGTAAGTGTTTATACGTTTTACCGGGTGTGCTCAGTTTGTTTAGTCTGCATACATCACTGAGCATGGACTGACAATACTGGTGAGTTGGTTTTGGTTTCTAGCATTTCTACTCTAAACTTTCTGGATTATAATTTTCATATTTTTTATAATACACGACAAAATTTCTTATTTTGTTAAGTATTATGAATAAAGTTTACTTTGCGAAAGCGCAAGGATATGTCAATCAAATGCATCCAGAAAATTGTAGTTTTAATAATTTCCAGATAAAAGAATTTTCTTAATCATGTTAACATGATTTTAATATATTTCACTAATTTTGGTGTGCAAAACCCTAGCAACATATTAGTCATGATATTATTTAGAAATTTTTTTTTAAAAAAAATGTGCTCCAAATCTATGTCCCAGCCCCTTTAAAACAACAATTTCTCACAAAACATTCAAGACATGACCCAGGGATCATGAAAGATCATAAAGCTTTTGAAAAGCTTATTTCTTAAAGTTTATATTTGTGAAATGTTCAGAAAAGAAACAAAGGTTTAACAGGGCATTTTGTTCTGAAAACAATACTCATTTACATTTTTTTTAATCATTTACATTTGACTTAATCTTCACAAGCTAGCACCTCAAAATACATACATGTATGACTTGAATGCATCTTCACTAACTATTCTTGAGTATCTCATGATCGAAGTAAATATTACCGACATGTCAGATATCAAGCAAGCCATTGATTACTATAAACATGGATTTCGTATTTGATATAAAAAAATCAGCATGTCAAATGCAACAGGAAACGCAATCCGCTACCAAAATCACAGACTTTAGTGTGGATGGAAACGCAGTTTCCGGAATACCCAACAAAAATTTTCTCTTATTCCAAAGTAATGTTTTCCTGTCTAATGTCAATTCCGTACCTCCGTACATAGGCAGATTTAAATGTCAAAGTAAGCCGTCGACTGCAAAAGTCAGTGCCTCTCGCAAAAGTCCAATAGTATGTCAAATTTTGTTGATAACATTGTATTTCTAAAGTTTTTTTTATAGCATTTGTAACATTACTTTCGGATCAACCCTCGTATTATAAGGATTTCTAATGCAGGAGTGCATTTCCATGATATATAATAAAACATTATTTAATCTTAATTGTGTGACTCTATCCTAAACTCTTAAGATATTCGGAGAATCTAAAATTCTACAAGAAATGGCATCTCTAGGAACAAGGTTTAAAATGAACTATACTTGTTACTTGTAATCTACAATATCAAGAAAAAGAGGCATTTATTCAAAGCATAACATAGGGTCCTTTTACAATGTGTATTAATACAAGATACAATTCTATAGGGCCTATATAGATTAATTTTTAATTTTTTTTTTTTTTTTTGTAAATGCTTATTATAATATTTTCACATGAAAGGAAATAGATGGCTGGACAACAAACTCTGATTTCAGTAAGATGTCTCTGACCAGACTGCAGCTCTTCTGGTTTGTGTTTGCAATAGTGGAGAAAATCTGTACCTTTTCTTTTAACACTTTTCATTCGTATATCCATCACTGAATTCAGTATTTTTCTATTTTCTAAAATTGCAACACATTTTAATTTAAAAAATCAAAACTGTTGTACAAAATCATTTTATTTATCAAACATTTAATTTTTGCATTAGCATTGGCAGCATATACATAAGCCTAATGAATATAAACGTAATTGCGTATATCTTGGCGCAGTCTACTTGCAAATGTGGATAAAGCGATGCTGATTTTTTCAAAATTAAAATGCTTTTATAAATTTATTCAATATTTTTCTGATTTTCGTAACTAAGGAATTATTCTTTTTCAAAATCAGAAATTATTATGAACTTGTTTGCAATGAAAGCCTATTGCTGGGTCGTATTTTGACTGACATGTTTTATACCATTTGTTAAGCCATTATTTTTTTTTTTACCAGACCAATATTGTGGATTCATCGGAGATGTGACCGGTCAATAAGGATGCTGACTCCTCCCTGCCAATCGATCTCTCCTCCGATGTTTTCAGGGATCTCTGCATTTGGACTTCATTGAACATCCAAATAGAAAAAAAAAACATGAAGTCATGCATGTTTTGTCAACTGTTAAACTTTTACATGCAATTTCCTTAAACAAAATAAAAATAAACTTTTAAATACAACAACAACAACAAAAAAATACCACAGAATTGTCACTTGATAAGAATCAAATTATTTTATGTTTTCCTAGGTATAGGATCTCCAATAGTCTGTGGATGGATAAAAATCGTATCCAGCCGCAAACTATGGGGGTTTCTTATTGCACGTTTTACGTTTTACGTAACTTAAACTTGTCCAATACTGTTTTTTTTATATATCCACTTTATATATCCACTTTATCATGTTAACATGATTTTAATATATTTCACTAATTTTGGTGTGCAAAACCAATAGTCTGTGGATGGATAAAAATCGTATCCAGCCGCAAACTATGGGTGTTTCTTATGGGGGTTTCTCGTTGTGTGTTTTTATCCCCTCGCCAAGGCTCGGGGATAAAAAACACACAATTCGTTGGATAAAAATCATATCCAACTACAAATCATGGGAGATTCTTTTTATCCCATGTTTAATACTTCACAACCAATGATTTACACTGTTCTATATAGGAACTCCACTTTATTTTACTTCATCACGCTGACGCAAAAACCATTGTGACGTCACAACTGCACTTAACTGTGGAATATGAAAAAATTATCCAATGAGTCATATCCACGGGATAAAGGGGTAAACATGGGATAAAAAACGATATCATATGACCGATATCAACTGTATAAAGGAGTAAACATCTGATAATGTCGGTTATCAGGCACTTTACAATCTTAATACATGTAGCATGTGATTAGAAACATATTATTAATCAAAATGATATGAGATTCCTACTTGAAATGACCGACACTACATGGGAAATACCATAACAAAATAAGCAGCTGCTATAGCTTAATCAAAGAGAGGTATGTAAAAGACATTAACATCGTTTTGGGTTTCTTTTGGCTTGACTCAAAGATACGAATTCCATATAAATTACAAATTCAAAAGCATGCATTAATTTTTACATTTATTTTGCCCCAACTCATAGACTTTATTGAATTCGTCGGAAAGCATTCCAAGCTTGACAAATATGATAGTTATTTTCAAGATTTGTTTCTTTTTTTTTTTATTTGTATTTTTTTTTTCTTCAAAAATAAAGTTTATGTTTTTTTTTTATTTTTAGTGGTTTTTTCTTATATCTTTCTTTCTTCATTTTGGTTAGCTCAACTTTGCTTTGTTATTTCTCTCTCTCTCTCTGTGTGGTTTGTATTTGCTTTTGTATCGAATAATTCTACGTATTTGTAGGAGAAAAAAATAAAACTAATAGATGAGAAAGCTTTTATTCCTATGGTCATTCTTTCTACTATTCGTCAGAACTTTTCATGCATGAAGTATTACAGTTTTTTATTTCTTAATGTGATTTGCATTTTTTATATTTGATAGGAGAAATTCAGCTGAAAAAGTTTGTTTTCGGCTGAAATATTAAAGGAATTCACAGCAATCCCCCATCCTCAGTTTTGTAACAGATTGGACCTCTTAATATGTGACAATAGATACATGTACTTTCCTATAGCATTTTGTTTATTTTAAGCCATTAACATATATAGGCAATCAATAAATCATTTTCCTTTTAGTTTTCACTGATGTTCAATAATAATTATTGGATAAATGACAATGATTTTGACAAATCAAGTAAATCTGGATCAAAATGAAAGAAAACCACTATACAGAAATTAAGATTTTGTGAAGATAAAGCAAATCTAATCTTACTATAGATTACATTTATATGTCATAACTTATCTTCATCCCTCTTTATCACCACTGACAACTCGTTATTTATATAAGGCCTGCATTAGAAAACAATTGGACAGGAAAGACGGAAGTGATTGCTTGTTGGAAATGTGATCTTATCCTTATATTCATAGAGCTAGGTTCACTTTATCCATAAACAGCCCTGCCCAATAATCCAATTAACTGACCAAGACCCAATGTCCCATTTCAAACATCAATATAAAGTAGAGTCTTTGGGGTTTCATTTCCTAAAAAAGTTGCATCTGAGAGTCCATGTTTTAAAAAGCAAGCTGTGTGAAATTGCAATGTTCTTGAATTTTACAGCAAAACGGGTTTATTTTACTACCTTCAACAAAGAATTAAAATATATGAACCCACCCATCGATCCCAAAACATGTATCAGAATCTTTAAAAACAATTACAATTTTTAAATAAAATGATTGCACATTTTGAATCTGAGGTTGGGCTCTATGCAAAAATATTGAAGAAGATGCTAAAACTATTGTTCATTCGAGAAGTTCTGTAAATCATACAGATGGGGATTCTTAAAAATTCCAGGGAACTTTTGGAAAATTTGAAATCACAGACTTCTATACGAAAATTCGATAACATCAAAACTTACGACTTTTCAACTCTATATACAATCATTCCTCACGATAAATTGAAGTCCAGGCTTCTTGACATCTAGGCAGCTGCTTTCTCAATAAAAATGAAACTCGTAGATATACTTACCTTGTCATTGGTCATTTGCAACATTATTTTGTCAAAAAAAATTTGATTGTACACACAAGTACTCTGAAGTTGATATTAAAAAGATCCTTGAATTTCTGATTGACAATATCTATGTGGTTTTTGGAGACCAGGTCTCCAACAATCTGATGGAATTTCCATGGATACCAGTTACGCACCGTTTTAATTTTAGCAGACCAATTTTTGTATTCATATGAAGCAGAATGTATTCAAAATCGTATACATGAGAAGAAGAAAACACTTGCTGTGGCCTTCAACTCAACATATAAATATATCGACTACAAATTACAATTAACAATAGTTATATTTCCATTTATATGTTGACAAGATATATCCCAGTGAGCTTGAAATAAAAGATATCACAGAGTGTGACACATCTTTTACATATCTGGATATTTTACTAGAAAAAAGACGTTGATACTATCTTAACTAAGCTTTATGATAAACGTAATAACTTTCACTTTTTAATCGTCAACTTCCCGGCTTACTTATGCAGCCATATACCATTATCACCTACATAAGGGGTTTATATCTCTCAGTTGATTCGATACACAAGGGAATGCTCTACGTATGAAAGATTTCTTAAAGTAGGTAAGGTTATAAACAAACAAGTTGATGAAAAAAGAATATCAACAGTCTTGTTTAAAGGCATCATTTTGTAAGTTCTATGGTCGATACAATGACCTTGTCAGCAATTAAGTCTACCATTGAGTCAAATGCTGACTGACGTTTTCATACTAATTGTTAGGCCATTATTTACACACTGAATTGTCGACGGAATTTCCCGTTATTTCCCGATGGTGACAAAGAGCACAAGGCGGGTGTGACCGGTCGGCAGGGGATGCTCACTCCTCCTCAATGGCACCTGATCCCACCTCTAATGTTTTAGAGGTTTGCTCTGCACCTGATTTGTATTGTTTAGATGGACTTTTAAGCTTGAATACTGTTCGTAATCTTCATATATTTCATAATGCCTTGTTTCATTTATATTATACATATAAACTGATTAAAAAGGCATATAAACTGGTTGACGGGCTACTTCATCATACCAAAAGCAACTTTTGTCATTTGTCATGGCCAAATTTTCGTAGTGAAAAGAAATCGATAATGAAATAATCTTGTAAAGAAAACTAACATTGAATATAATCTAAAATCATGTGTATGATTTAGTAACTTGTTTAAAAAATAAGGGAACCTCTTGTTAGCTACAGATTCAAAAAATTGTCGTTTCAGATAATTAACATGATAAAATTTTATGGTATATTGAAATGATTATACTTTTTAATGCAGCTCTGAGATGGCTGGAAATAGAGTAGAAGAATCAAATGGAACTGCTCAGCACTACATAATGTGTGCCATATGTGGAGAGAGCTCCAACCTCTACTGCAATGATTGCCAACAGAGCATGTGTGAGCGGCACAGAGATATCCATCTCAAAGAAGAGAAAAACAGACACCATGAAGTTGTTCTTTATACGAACAGAAGAATACCCTTGCCTGTAGAAAAATGTCCAATTCATCCAACAAGAGATCTTGAAATTTACTGTGACTACTGCAGGGATCCTATTTGTTCCAAATGCTCTACTTCAAATCACAGTAATCACAAGACATCTGATCTGGAGGTTGTCTACAATGAAAGACTACAACAATGCAAAGATCAAATGACAAAGATTCATGAAGAAAAAATAAATTCCCAGAAAGAACGAACAGAAAAAGATGAGGAAAGATTTAACCTAGTGATATCATTTATGATGCAAAGAGCTGAAGAGATGAAAGAAGTTGTGGATATCGTTCTCTACGATAAGGTTGTTGAGCTTGGTACAATGAAAGAATCATTTTTGAAAGAAACAGAAAAGGAGAGGTTGCAAATAGAAGCCTCAATTGTAAAACTTAAAAACGAGATGGAAACTGCATCAATAAAACCGTCCAGTCTTTTAACATTCCATCAGAAGATTTACTCACAAGCACTGGAAATCATGAAAAAATACAAAGCAGATCATCCAACATTGCCAACATTTATTAAAGGTACAGAAGATAAAAAGGAGATAGCAAAACAGTTTGGGGAAATTAAGTGGCCAGTAGAGAATCTGATTTTTTCTCGACACGAAAAAGCAATGGATTTTAGTCAGAGCTTTCCACCTCTGATTAAGAAGAGAGAAGGAGACAGCAGAACAAAATCGCTGTGCAAGATTCAAGCTGCTCTGTCAATTAAATTTGATGTTAAAAAAGAAAGAAAAATTAACATTTGTACACCTGCGTATCATTTATCTATTTTGTCGTCGGGGAAATTCTGGGCCAGTAACAGCTGGGGGAACCTCATCCTATTTGACATGGATGGAAATGTGTTAAAGAAAATATCCACTAATGTAGTAGATGTCATAGGTTACCACACCGTCACCATGGAGGGGCACCTTCTCTTCACAACTGCCAAAAGTAAAGTAATCTGCCACGTGACTAGTGAAATGAACACAAGAATAATCTCTTCTGAGGAGTGGGAACCAGGGGCTATTTACTCCTCCCACATCAATCGAGACATACTGGTGGGAATGAATAAAAATAAAGAATTCAAGGTGACCAGATACAGCAGGGAAGGGAAGAAACTCCAAGTGACCAAGAATGATGATAAAGGGAACAACCTATACAAAAGTATAACCTACATCACAGAGAACATCAACGGTGACATCTGTACAACAGACTATACTGCCCATAGAGTGGTGGTGGTGACCAGATCAGGACAGCACCGGTTCTCTTATTCTGGCCACCAGTCTCAGTCTGGATTCCATCCTTATGGAATCTGTACAGACAAGCTAGGACATATCTTGGTGTGCAACAGCTACTGTCCTTTGCTTGGAAATTACTCCGGTGTCCACCTGCTGGATATGGATGGTCAGTTCCTGTCACTTTTACTCTCACCAGATCAATGTCCACACAAGCCCCGTGCTCTCTGTTTTGATGACCAGCACACTTTAATGGTCGGGAGTGAGGATAGTTCTACTGTCACTATGTACGAATATTACCAGAAGGAAGAAAATTAAAAATAAATATCTACTAAAGAGATTGAACTTCTTATCAAAAACGCATTAAATCAAAAGTTGTGATACTGTTGCCTTTTTATTTTTTAACTCTAAATATGTACACATTTTTTGTCAAACCAAAACCAACGTTTCAGTGTTAAATTTTCGAAATTAATTCGTGATAAAAGAAGATACATCGTTGATTCTTGACTGTAAATATGAGATTTGTGAATCAGGCGTAGGTGTTTCATATCCTAGTCTCCGGTACTCTATTTTTGTAGCTCTTTATAGCATTTATTGTTTTACTCAGCATAGTTTATTTGATTAATTGTTTCTTGTTTAACTTGTTCATATCTTGTGATTGGGCATCTAGAATATACCATTAGATATCATTCTGAATCTTTACGCAGATACTCTAAAATTGACATTAAGGATATCCGCTCCTCAGCTCTGAGCAATTACTTTTAATATATTAATTTAATTGAGTAAGTCTGAAATGAAGCTTAAAATTGATTTTTTTTCTTGCAACAATTTTCATTTCACGACTCCATTTGATCCATGGTTCTTTGGAGTCTTAAAATTGTCTTGGCAAAAGTAGACATTAAAGTACCCAATAAAAGTATTTTTTAAAATGATTTTTAGATAGATCTAATTTTTTTTTCTTTAAATTTAGCTTTAGATACCAATATTTATTAGCTACGATATGAAATTGGAAGTAATCGGTGATATTTTACAATTATATCTGTTGAAGTAGATAGAAGAATTAAATACCACAAAAGTATTGAAAAATGCATTTTATTTAGATGCCTGGATACTAATAGCTTTTTTTAATCTAAAATATGTGTTGATCAATTTTCAATTAGAAAATGCATGATTAGTGCTATTATTCACGATTATAAAATATATTTAAGAGTTAATACAGTAATATTTTTTTCATATATGATATGATTAACTTTAATGATTAACATTGCAGAAATAACAAGTTTTATGATAAATACTCAGTACTTTGTAATTCAGTGACATTTTTGTGAGAATTTTCAACTAACTGCTGATTTTCAAAAGCTGGGAATTAAAATGATGCATGTTTTCCTCATTGGCATGTAGTTTTTGAAGTCCATCAGGCATGCCTATAAAGCCTATAAAGCTTAAGAGTAAGATATATCTTTGGACGAACATACGACATGACTTAGTCTTATGTGAAGCCAGTGAAGCTATCCTATCTAAGGAGATTTCCCAGTCTTTTCTAATCTCACTTTAAGACGACGACAAGCTTATCCTAAGACATATCTTAAGTGATATATATCAGGCCAGCAAAACAACTAGGAATAACTGAGTTTACAGTGTTTGAGTAATCTAATAGTTTTTGTGAAATATTTATTTCTTTTCTGAGTGAAAATCAATTTCGCAACTATTATTCGTGTTACTGTATATGACAAAGAACAAATGGAAATGGAGAAAATAATAAATAAAAATGTATTTAATAACTAATATATTACACATCTAGCAGATTTGAAAAAAAAGCGTTTGAAGTAGGTTTATTTAAATCTGTTTGAAAGTGAGTATCAAAATACCGGCTATTATTTTTTCTTCCTTGTATTCGATGTGTATGTGTGTGTGTGTGTGGGGGGGGGGGGTTAGAAGAATGTAGTCAGTATCTCATACTCATACTTGTAAAATCAAAAGATAGGACAAGAGCCCTCCTTCTCTCCTTCTCTTTCTCTCTCTCTCTCTCTCGAATTTTCTGACATATTGGAATCTGACACTTCCCTGATAATTTTTCTATATGTCACAATAGTCCAATTATTTTGTAAGTACAGAGAGTTTTATGTTTATTTTTCTGTGAAAGGTTATATTTTTTTTACTCATGAGGGAATACGTCACGATAGTGGCCAGGAGTTTCATCCCTCCTTTCAAACTTTTTAAATTATACTTCTCCATTAAAACAACTTTCTACAACTGAATACAAAAATGTAGGTAGTTTTGCTTTTGTTGCTGCTGTTGTTGGTGTTGTTGTTGTTGTTGTTGTTTTGTTCTTCCTAGATAGTAGACATGAATCTGTTATACTACTAAATCCATATTTCTAACATATGTCCTACGAAATGTTCATATTACACTTCTTAAGACATAGGAAATATCATTAGCATGTCTGCAGGTCTTCCAAAAATCTGTTGAATTTTACCAGCGGTACTTATTGTGCTTCCTTATGAGCAGACCTATGAAGCAAAATTTATTCATAAACTTCTATTCATGTATTAACGTAAGAAGTCTCTTGCTGTGGCTTTCCATTAGATATTTAGATATATCGACGACACTTTATCAACTAACGATATTCAAATGTCGACTCAATACATGTTGGTGACCTCAAAATAAATAACACCACATGCAGTCTGCCACATTTCTTTCACACTGATTTTGATGCTTAATGGACTATTAACTTTTATTACCAACCCACAACTTAATTGTACGAGGAACAGGTTGATTTTAGCTTTTCCAACAGCTTCCCTTAATTATGTTGTAGTAGATGCATCCATTGAATATTTTCTCATTTATTTCTTATTAAAAATTAATCGACTTAAACACTTTACGAGTAAGAACTGTATTTCAAAGCCATCAATATGAAAGAGTTCTTAAGAAGTAGGTTTTTCAATCAAGGAAATGCAAAAATCGATATTACAATATTTTATGTAATTACATCCATTTTGTACAAATATAAGTATAAAGAATAAATTGTTTTTTTTTAATGCACAGATGAACGCTTGCAATCAGTGCAGAAAAACAATTACATACCCGCGTATGCGGGAAAACATTGCAGAAATAAAGCATAAATTTTTGCTTAAATATTCCACTATCTGATACCTGCAAGTGGTTTTTATTCCTCACAACTGATTTGGCACACCAGAGCACGTTCCGATTATGATCAATTTTAAATATTTAAACCTAGGTAGGCTACTGACAGATAAGTTAATGTTACAGGTTTTTCGTCCATTACGGAACGGTCGTTTTAATGACCTCGTTTACAATTACACCCCATCATTGGTTCATATTTTGACTGAAAAATTCTTACTTATTGCAAAGTCCTTGTCTTTATGCCAATTTTGACCACGGATTACTTAATTAATACAAAGGTTGAGGACAAGTGTGACTTCTGGTGTTTTCAAGGATACGTGTTCTTGTCCTTTTCAAGATTTGCACTGTTTAGTAGTTTTTCAGAATTATAAGTAAACAAGTATAGAAGTCCATATCAATCATTTATGATATATCGTCTAACATTCCATACACATACAATGCAATTACGTTACAATACTATTATTTGCTTTCCAAATCACAATTTTGGTCAGTAATGTGAAATTTTCACACTTCAGAGGACAACTAAAAAGCAGAGTAAAAGTTCATGCATGATTATAAATCTTTCCAACAGTATTCACACCCGCCTATGATGATAATCAGTTCAAAGGTCACTGATCAATGACCTCAGATCACTGACCAAATTGTTGCCTGCCAAGTAAAAGGTCATCAATAAATGTCCTGGGGTCACCGACTAATTTTCGCTTGCCATATCATTTGCTTTTCAGAAGTTTGCACAGTTTTTGATTTTTTTCAAACTTGTCTCAATGGTAATCCTCCGGGTTTACTTCTGTAAATTGTTTTGCCTCCTTTCTTTCCATCTAAATCTTAAAATCAAAATATGATATCAAAATAACATGAAAGATCAAAATAACATCAAAGAGGATAAAAATAACCGCAAAAGGAAGACAAAAACAACATCGAAAGAGAGAATAAAAATAACATCATCGTTTCAATCTCGTGATTGGAACAGAGAACTCTCTCAATTCATTTCCCGCCATAACAGACCAAGGCAATAACAGTGACTCTGGGTACAAAAAAGAGTTTTATACAACATAGATACTGTTGATCATAATCAGATACTAGTAGTATCGTCTAACGTTACTGCTGATACTAATACATGCACTACATATCCATTTGAAGTGCATGTACAGTCGGCGTCTTCCTCGATGTTCAGTCACGTGCTTTCGGCTCCAAACTTTAGCCACGTGCCTCTTGTTTTCGTACAACCTGTAAATCAACCAGTACTGGTATATCCAAGCATGGCTACAGGGATTTAGCTTCGCAAATTCTGTGCTTATTCCTGAGGATGTGGAAATATAACTTGATATATTCGACATTTATAAATAAGTTACATTGCCAGGGCATGCACTTTGACCCAGAGAATCGCGGCATTCCACATGAGCCTTCGATATTGTTATATTCCCTCTTCTCGGCAGTAAAGAGTGTTTGGAAACATTAAAAAACAAGTTTCGAGAACAAATTGCAACTGATGTGTATGATCTCTCTTTGGTGGTTGGCTCTGCCGCCTTACTTAACGAGTTAAAGCTTGACTCAATCCAATCCCATGATGGATACAAAAGTTATATCTTGGAAAGAGACAGAAAGCTTTGAAAACCTAAGTCTTACATGCTCTTTCAGTTTATTTAAGATCTGTCACTAGCATTCTTTGTACGTGCTGAATTGGACACAATGAAATCTACTCATATCTCTGTTCAGTCTTGAGAGGCGGCAGGGAATCTTAATGGCTTTCCAGGACTACAACCCTCTCCCAAGTTGTCAGCTTTAAAGCCTAGTGACAAATCCCAAAATTTAACAGAACTGGAAGGACAAAGTCCAACTTCAGCAGATGATGGAAGAACGCTCTGATAGTAGTCTACGTCAGAATCAATGCAGATGTGGGAGCACCTAGAAACAGAGGCCGATACAGAATCATCTGTCATCGGACTTGGACAAATTCAACCAACGTATTATTCAGAGTAGATAACTTATGCACACTGGATCACAAGGTTTATGTACCAGCAGGAAAGGACAATGTATGGTAACGGCCAAATTTGGCCTCTTATTTGATTTTAAAAATCAAAACACAGTTAAAATTGTTATAGTTTGCAGTTAAGAACTTTAAATGTTGCCTGTTTTAAAACCAGCAATTATTTAATTCATAGAGTACAGGGAGG